AGAGAGAGAGAGAGAGAGAGAGAGAGAGAGAGAGAACCAGAGAGAGAGAGAAAGAACAGAGACAGAGACACAGAGAGAGGGGGGGGTCCGACTTTATTTCATCGAAATGTATAAACTCAAAAATAATAATATTTCATAATTTATTTAGATCTAGATTTAGATCTAGATAATCTAGTTGGTGACACTCAGTAAATTGAACAAGCCCCACCCCCAGGAAACGTCATTACGTAGAATCAAGTCACCAGCTTCGATGGATAACTTTTTTACTTGAACATTAATTTTTGCACACAAAATGGCTCTTCGATTTGATTTCATCTATTTTACTTCCTGGAACTAACGCTGTTTTTCCCACTGATTGAAGTGGGTTTGTTGTTGCGTGGTCGATCAAAATATGCCTTGATCATTATGAGTCGTCAGCCTCCTATTGCTGTCTCTGCTGGTGTAGAATGATCATACAAGATGTGAGCCAGTGGTGAGTGTTTGTAGTCGATGAACAGCTTCATTGACAATTGATTCTTCTGTTTTGGACTTGGCCTTTCTTTGGACTTAGTAACTTAGTTAGCCCGTTTTTTAAGTTTATAGTACGCAATTTGTAAATCGTTACGGTTACGTTGCGGTTTATAATAGATCTCTAGATCTTCTAGATAGATCTAGAATCTAGAGTCACTAGAAACAAGATCTCCTAGATTCAAGATGTAGACCTAGATATATTCGTACACTGCTGGATAAGATCTTTAGATTTAACGACTACTAATACTAAGTTACTGTGTGACTGTGCCGTGTGCACTACTAGATCTACTACTATTGTGTGTGTACCGCACTATTGTGTGTGTACCGCCTCGGCCCTCTACCACTGTGTAAGTCTTGAAAGTGTTGCCAAGGCTGTCTGCTGCTTTCTCTGTAATTCCCAAATTTTGACTACTTTTTTTTTCTGGCAGATCCAGGGTAAAACTAATCTAGATTTTCTAGATCTAGACTGTCTGTGGTGATAATTGAAATGATTGAACCTTCTAAAAATATGATGGAATGAATAGGCCTAGAATCTAGATTAGAATATGGACGAATTAAACTTTCTACCCTGGTACAGAGGCAGTCCCTTCATGTCTTTATAGAGTATGTCTGTGGACTCGCCGCGCTTCAAAGGCAGATGTGACCAGTCATCATCAAATCTCAGTTTGTATTTAATTTGGCTATCTGGTGTAAAAACTCTGGTTGGTTAGTTTGATGAAATCAGAAAAGATACATGAGTCAAATACTTGACTACATATATATATGGCTTCACTATCCTACTTTCTTCCATTAGCCTGACATAATCAGCTGGGTAGTAGTAGTAGATGTACTGTGAGCACTGTCCAACTCCATCTGTGTATAGCCCTTCTCTAGGAATTTTGGCCACCTCTATTCTCACCCGGAGTGAGAATAGTGCAGGCGAGTCTTGTGGCTATTCTCACCCGGTGCGCGTTCACCAAATTTTGCGTTCACCCTAAACCACAGAATTCTACACTGTGATAACAGAAAAATTGTAGAATTCTGTGCCGTGAACAAACGTTCCATTACAACTGTAGCCTACTAAAAGCGTACAATTTTGTCTGTGGGCAGTGGAGAGAGAGAGAGAAAGAGAGAGAGGAGTAGCGCGAGAATTTCCGGGCAAAACAAAATGGCGACCCGCGTAGTTCGGCTCGATTCGAAAAGTTAAATAGCCGTAGCATCTTTGTAGACAACCAAATTAATTTACTTTTGTGTTTTAACATCATTTTTTAACTTTGTTTTGGTCAATTTGATTGTCCACACCGATAGACAGTATTCAGAATGAGACAGAGAGAGAGAGAAGAGGGGAGGAGTTGATCTTGCGAGAACTTCCGGGCGGGTGAGAATAGCCACTTTCAGGAATTTTAATGTTACAGTTTTACCATTGACAGAGCTGAAATGTAACAGTGCAGAACTCATTGTGACTTTGCAGTTCTGATACAACCACATCCATCTGAATATAATGATCTGGAGTCAAATCAGATGACAAAAAATCAGCCACACAAGGAGCAAATTTATTTAGTCTAGCCGTACTTATCTTAGGTCCTATTAAAACATTAGAAAACAGGAGGTTTAAAATACATGCACTTTCATTAAGGCACCTGGTTTCGTCTCAAATACAAATACTTTAGGTACTGCACACTAAAAATGTATATTTACAATTCAGTAGGCCTATTTTTTGTAAATGGTCAGTCTAGCCATCATATTAAGAATAAGTACGGCTAGACTGCCAGTCTAGCCGTCATTAAGTACGGCTAGCTTCTTCCTTTTCTCTGAACTGGAACCTCACCCTCTGCTACACCCAACCCACATGTGAGAACAATGTGAACACACTAGTAATAAAGTACAGGACTTAAGAAGAAAACCGTGCACACTTTTACTCTGGCCCCATTCACTCGCAGATGGTACTTCATGGACCACGATCTTCTGCTTTCTCTCTCCTTTTTCTCCACAGGCTCAACACAGTCAACCAACCCTTTAAACAAAAGCAGCCTTTTCTGATTTTACATTTATTTATAATCAAACGTCTCCTTCAGAGCAAAACGTTATCGCCATGATCCACAATGGCGGACTACCTAAACGAATTAGACGGTTAGAATTCTTCAGTCACGGAAGTCAGTCGGAATATACGGTTAGAATTTCTCTTTAAAACAAGACTTTTGTTTGTCAAAATTGTTCTAGATTTTAATAGGACGTAGCCATTCGTTATGTCTATCTATTTTAAGGAAAAAAGCAATTCGAGAAAATTTCGAGTTAGACGATTTAGAATTCTCTGCCGACGATATATATATTATATTATATTCTTATATTATATATATATTATATTTATATTATTTTGTTATTATTGTTATTTTATTACTATTATTACCTTTATTACTATTGTTATTATTATTTTTATTATTAATATGGCCATTATTATTATTATCATTATTTCTTTCTTTATATATATATATAAATATTTATATAAATGTATTTGTCACAATCACGTACGTTTGTCCCTCCAGTGAGTTGTGGGAACAATGAGCTACTACAGCAGCACCAGCACGGAGCAGGCCACTTTCCCCAGCGGGGGGAGCAGCTACCCGTCCTCGCTGTCGGAAACCATGGAGGGCTACGAGTACGACTTTGTGCCGCCCCCCGAGCCGCGCTACGAGTGCCCCATCTGTCTGCTCATCCTCCGAGAGCCGCGCCAGACCAAGTGCGGGCACAGGTTTTGCCGAGACTGCATCCTGCGGGCGCTGAGGTGGGAACTACTTTTGCTTATAATATTGCCGAGACTGCATTCTGAGAAATATTTTTGCTTATAAATAGAAAACATATTGCCGAGACTGCTTCCTGAGTACGTTCTGAGAACTATTTTTGCTTATAGAAAACATATTGCCGAGACTGCATTCTGAGATATATTTTTGCTTATAAATAGAAAACATATTGCCGAGACTGCTTCCTGAGTGCGTTCTGAGAACTATTTTTGCTTATAGAAAACATATTGCCGAGACTGCTTCCTGAGTGCGTTCTGAGAACTATTTTTGCTTATAGAAAACATATTGCCGAGACTGCATTCTGAGAGCCTTGAGGTGAGAAATACTTTTTGAGTGTAAGACTCATATTTTGTTTTAGTAAGAGTTTTACGGCACTCACAACTGCATAAGGTAATATGAACGCGCGAAACACAAGATGGCTGTATACACAACACTTCACTGCATGGTTGGTCTCGGGTCAACCACCAGATTTAAAATGCCATTGCAATGTCTGTTAAAGAAGTTTAGCAGAGTCTCGCTTTCTTTTCCGTAAAGATAAATGTGCAGCATTGTTCTGGACAACAGATTCTTGCAATTTTTGGCATTAAAAATAATAATAAATAATAATAATAATAGATAGCATTTGTATAGCGCATATCCCCGCTCAACAGCAGGCTCTATGCGCTTTACACTATATTATTACCCCAGCAGACCATAGAACACTCCGAAACATTCTCAGCTTCCCAGGAAGCATAAAGTGCAAGCAGCCGATTAAGCGCTCAAACACTAACAAACTGACAAGATCTTTCGCTGTCTATAGCCGGGTACCCATTCCCACCTGGGTGAAGTGAGGAAATTCGTGTAAAGTGCCTTTCCCAAGGACACAACGTCGGGCCCTTGACGGGATTCGAACCCACGACCTTACGGTTGCGAGTCCGAGAGCCTAACCACTAGGCCACCGACACCACAAATATTCCCTTTGAGTCTCTCCGAAGTCGAGACATTCTGTTAAAATATGTCTGATGGTAACATCTGTGTCGCATCCGGTGTATGACTGCCATACACCATATTGCCGTACGCCATATTGAAAAGTGGCATGTGACGGAGTTGCACACTGGGCAGTCGATGTGACCTATTTGTGTTGTAAGTGCTGTAAAACTCTTGTTAAAACTAACAACTTGACTAAGCCACTTTGTCCGCCATGTTTTCTGGGTGAGTGGTTGGCGTGTGCTCTGGTGTGGTTTGCTTCTTCTTTTCTATCAAACATCTATCATCCTTATCTCCCCTTCTTCTTTTTTATGTTTGTTACTCTCTTGTAACACCTCTAATCTTCTGGCGCTCATAGGACCATATACAGTTGCAAGCGCCGTAAAACCTCTACTTGAAAAAAAAAATGTTTTCTGGTCTTTTGTTTTTTCAGAGACTCCAGCGCTCGATGCCCCGTGGATAACGAAGGACTCACAGAGGCTGATTTGTTTCCCGATAATTTTGCCAAAAGGGAAATCCTGAATTTTGATATACGCTGCCCGAACAACAAAGATGGATGTGAAAAGATCTTGCCTTTGGGCAAACTTCAGGTATGCGACATATCAGCTGTTATTTTACAGGAGCGAAAACGCTAGCATTCTGACAGATCTTTCAATGTCTATGGCCATGGCCAGGTACACATTCACACGTGGGTCAATTTACGAAAAGTCGTGTAACGAAAGGTGCCTTTCCCAAGGACACGCCGCGTTGAGCTGAGCCTTGAACCCCCAAAACACAACCTTACGATGACGAGTCAGGCAGCCTAACCCCTAGACTACCGATGTCGCTATATATATATATATATATATATATATATATATATATATATATATATATATATATATATATCGTCAAGCCGCTACCTTTTTGGCCTAAGTCATTTTTGCCAGTTTTGAGATAATCAATAAAAACTGTCTAAGTCGCAAGAAAACACACTTTGGCAAACAAAACTTTCCTCAACGAGTGAGGGTTCAGTGCTGGTGAAGTTTATATAATTTTAAAAAATGAAAATGTGAAATTATGGGATATATAGGACTTAGGCCATTTCGAGACCACGCTCTTAGACTTAGGCCAAAATGCGAAATGACTTAGGCCAAAACGGCCCCCGAGTTTTTACCGTCAATGGTGACTTAGGCCAAAATGTGGATCAATTTAGATCTTATATTATTATTGTTACGTTGAGTTATCCATGCCATATTTCTTCAGAAGAAGCTCTGAGCTGATCAAAAGCTTGTAAAAATTTGTAAAGTCCGTGCCGGCTTTAAACACACCGGCATAAAACACGCTAAACAGCTCATACCGAATTTTTGGATATTATTACACGCCTTTAAGCACATAACTTCGGCTTCAGGCACGCTTCATTTACAAGACAGTCAATACTTTCATGATGACCCATCGAAGTTCAAACACAGTCTACACCGCAGCAGTGAATGTGTTAAGAGAAACACAAAGAACGCTAATGATGGAGACACACATTCAAACACACAAATGACGCGTGCGGAGAGGAAGACAGAGTTGCACACAGCCACGCGCGTGGACATAGGATCTAGATCTAGCATAGGGCAAAGCTTCAGAGACTAAAAAAAAAATACAAAGAGAGTCCGGGAGACGAGAACTCAGAAAAGGAGGCTGGCTGCGATTTCACCTATTGCCCCTCGCTATCCGATAACGAGATAACCCTGATTATGTATCACGCGCCAGGTGGGATGAAGGCTGTGGTATGAATGTGGCACAGCGGGCAGTGGTACGCACAGGCAGTGTGTAGGGTAGGCCTAGTGTGCTGTATCGTGACTGGCCGTCTAAATCAAGTTTTCATTTCCCATTCGACCACAAAACAAAAACAAACCAAACAAACAAACAAAAACGACCATGGCGGGTAAAAATAACAGCACAAACTTTAGTGCGACCACTACTTACAAACAAAGAGAAATAGCACAGGGAATTTTCAACATGAAAATCTCTGGATTATAATTATATCTACTTCGCACTCAAGCACGCTTCGGCATTAGGCACGCTTCTAAATGATTTCTCACGATGACCGTGCTTACTTAAAGCCGGCAAGGACTGTATAACATTGGTAGTCAAAGTTCAGGAATGATCAACACCTGGACACATCAATGTAGAGTCTACATTGAAGTATAGAGATACGTCTGTGCAGAAAGAACAATACGATTTACTAACACTAACAGTAACAGCCAACAGCACGAGTTCAGTTGCTAAATAAAGGACATGGACACGATAACGGTCATTTAGTGCAAAGAAACAGCAAGACGACAGACAGATAAAACAATGAAAGAACAGAAGTAGAGCCTACCGCGCAGTAGCACCCTCCAACAACCTGCAAAACAGCAAGACGACAGACAGATATATTAAGTGTCAGAAGTAGAACCTACCAGTAGCACCCACCAACCAAACAGCAAGACGACAGACAGATATTTAGTGTTAGGTTAGAAGTAGAACCTACCAGTAGCACCCACCAACCAAACAGCAAGACGACAGACAGATATTTAGTGTTAGGTTAGAAGTAGAACCTACCAGTAGCACCCACCAACCAAACAGCAAGACGACAGACAGATAAAACATAATATTAGGAAAGAAGAACCTATCAGCAGCTGTAGTACTCAGCAACCTCCCCCACACAAGTACATTGTGTACACCTAGATCTACATGTTAAGGTACGTATTTCTCTACTATGGTAAAAAGAATAACACAAAATGCAAGAGTAAAGTAAAAAAGGACTCCAAAAATATCTTTTATTATACATGAAGAATTAAAGCACAGAGTAGGCCTACAATAATGTTGCACACAGTGTCAGGTACAAAGAAGCAAAGAATCAACATACATCATAAAATGCATTATCTCACAAGGTGAGCAGGGCCTCAAGAAATGTTTTGCGACAGCTGCCAATGATCACTGATGTGACCAACAATAAATAGGATAATAGTACCAGTAATAGACAAAGAGCTAAAATTACTTTTCCTGACAGGGTAAATTGTTTTACGATGTCAAACATTTCACATTACATTCATGACACAACAAATACAATAATATTTTTTTTAAAGACAGCCATTCATAAACATGACAATCATTCATAGGTATTATCGTGTCGATGTGCTTTCTTTATTAACTCAACTCAACGACAATTCAAACAAACTGAAATATTTGGGAGTTTTCTGCAAGCGCAAAGACCAGTGTGCTCAATGAAAACCAAAATGTTAAAATGCTCGTGGAAAATTAACCAAATAGGAAATAAGTATAACAATATATGGAAGAGAACCAAGAAACCCCACAGGCGGTGCTACTGACTGAAGTGTCTTTAGGCCATTCTCAAAGGGGGGACATTAATCTGTTCTTATGCACAGATGAATTGTAAATGGACTGATTCATCAATGTCAAGCTCATAAGTGTGCCTGAACTGCAACAGGGAACTGCTGCTTTTTCTTTCCTAATCCTTACTACCGTCATTTTCTTCACACTCTTGCGACCCGCTATTTCCGGGGTGCCATGATAGTCGAAGCAAACTTAGTGCTGTTGAAGCTAGAGAGTAAGGCTGATTCCCTGTAAGGACTTCTCTGTTGACATCTACCCCTTGGCACTCACTAATGACTTTATGCATTTGCTAGCGCTGTAAAACCTCTACTAAAACATGAGAAACAAGATAGGCATGGTCATAAACAAATTACAAAAACAATCGGGCATGCTTTGCCACACTGCGTCTCCAGGTGTGAGGGGCTGGTTTCCTTTTACCGCGGTTTGAAGGGAGAGGGTCATCTAAAGAAAAAGAGAAAGATAAAGAAAAATAAGCTCATGTGTAGCAATGTAGTTGAATTGATAAGGAAAACACTGACATAATAACAGTCATTCAGCGCCAGGAAACAGCAAGACGACAGATAAAACAGAATCTTAGGAGAGAAGTAGAAGCTACCAGTGCTACCTGCTAACCACTTGTAGTGTAGCAAAGTAATTCATCTATAGAACTCACATTAGAACAGTTAAAGTAAATACGCTGCGGGAAAAACGTGTGGCATTTCTGTCATTATTAATAGGTTATCGAATACGTAACATCAATTAAGATTTAAAGAAAAGAAACATTTATCTGACCATGTTGAGAGTAGATGAAATAATTGCTTGTTGGTCATATGTGTTTAAAAACAGCACACAAAGCGAAAAACACAAAATTAAGCATTTTTATGCAACTTGCATAACACGGCAGGGACACACTTTTATTGAATAGTAGGGGCCTAACCTGCTGTGTTGTTGAAATCAACAGTGCTGATTTCACTACCACCAAAACTTTCGACTCCATATGAAGGAGCTGGAGTCGGTGGCTCCTCGTCTTCCTCGACAGTGCTGACTACACTGTCAGCAAAACTTTCGTCTCGGTTAATCGGAGTCGGTGGCTCCTCGTCTTCCTCGACAGTGCTGATTGCACCATCAGCAACACTTTCGTTTCCGTTTGAAGTACGGGGTGGCTCCTCGATAGACTCAAGAGCTGAAAATGAAAGAGAAAGGGAAAAAAACTTGTAACTTTACAGACAGAACTGCTCATTATCCTCTAAACTATTCCAGTAAAATTGTTAATATATATATTCATATTCATGTAAATTATAAATCTAGCAAAAACATCAACACCACCAGTATGTCCTTATAGTTAGAAACTAATTTTATAATTTCTTTATATGGAAATGGCAATGTAAGAACACAACCCCCCCCCCCCCCCCAAACAAAACACTACCATTAATATGGCCTAGTAACGTGTTAACTGGGGAATTTGAAAGGAAACAGATCTTAAATGACCCAGTAAACTTAAAAGTACTCTTTTTATTCACTGGATGATGTGGAAAGTGAGACAAACCAGCTAAAGGTCCGAGCTAAGCTTCATCGGTTTCCACCTGGGATGTGCTGGGATCGTTGTCCTCCCCTCCCTGTGCAGGCCCAGTCACCAAAGGGTTCATGAGCCCACGGCAAGATGAACCTGGACATTGAGAACAAGATTATAACGTGCAATAATGAATCCAACTCAGACAAGATGTTTAAGTTACATTATAATACATATAATATGTAAATAAAAGAAACGAATTAAAACTCAGGACAGAATGTTTTAAAAAACAGAAAAGTGAGAGATAGAGGAAAAACCTTTTCAGTGTGCCTGTCATACTGCATTGTACAACAATAATGTGCATGAGCATTGAAGAAACGACGATCTCTATGCTATTCAGACGGAAATTTCCCAGTTTATGCACATAAAATAAATGAGGCCTAGTCTAGTAATGGTAAGATTTAGAAGCTTAATTAACCTACTGCTGTCACTGAATTGGGCTGGTCCTTCCCTAAGGTACCAGAAATTAAAGGCATAGATTTAGAAGCTTACTAACCTTCTGCTGTCACTGAATTGGGCTGGTCCTCCCGTAAGGTTCCAGGCTCAGATTTTCGATCTGGTGGTGGCTCAAATTCACTGCCGCTGCTTCCGAGACTTTGACTTTGTTGTGAATCTGAAATTAAAAAAAAATACATGCAGGTGTGGTAGGCCTATCTATTAATTAAAACACATACTGCTATAGCATAGAATCTAGCCCTTGTGGAAAAAATATTGTCTGTGGCTGCAAGGAGGGCACCGGGATCTAGAATCTAGCTGATTAGTTACTGTGTGCACACCAAGGTCCTACTTGCGTGTAAGTCAACTGACATGAAGTTTGGTCGAATCCATTACCTTTGGCTTCGAAGTCGAGCTTTCTATCTCGGAGCCAACCACGCTGGCAACTGACATTGAAACTAGATCTCTAGATCTAGATTTAAGTAGATCCAGGCCTTAACAGACGTCACAACGGAGTGACCATAACGAAATTATAAAAACTTTTAGACTCGGCTCTCTCATCATAACAAAGCATCATCTCTAGAAGAATCTAGAATACAGATATCAGAAGAAGAAGATAGAGGAAAATGATAATCCATCGTCTGCTAATGAATGCTAATGAATAGATTTAAAAGAGTCTAGAATCTAGATCTTCTAGATCCCTAGAACCTTCTAGAATCTATCCTCTATATCTAGATATCTAGATCTAGACTAATTAAAAATTAAGAAAACAATAATTAGAGATCTTGATCTGTTTACAAAATAAGATCTCTACCTCTAGATCACATCTAGATCTAGATCTAATCTAGATTTCTAGATCTTAATTCTAATGGCACGGCTAACGGCCGCGGATGATAACGATTACGGGAATGGCCTGGGTAGAAGCCAGGACCAATGCCATTGATTGCCTCATCAATTATAATCTGTCTCATAGTGGTCGCTCGTTACGGAAGTCCTCCCATAATAAGTAACTTGATAGCTATATATCTACAATCTAGGCCTAGAACCTAAGCAAAAAAGAGAAAATAAATTATACCACTTACCATCACTCTCTTCTTGCAAAACAAGGCTTAAAGCACTGGCGACTGACATCATTGTTGTTCTGCTGCGTGACGCCATCTTGGGTAGCGGGAGAGGAAAAAACTAGAAACGGAAGGCGGCCGAGGCTCGTTTTATGGCCTATCTCTGATATAGGCCAAACCGCGTCCAGAATCATTATGGCCTTAGTCATTTTTGACTTAGGCCAAAGTGTTATTTCGGGATTTGTAGGAAAATGTGTTGGCCGATTTTATTCATTTCTTTAAAATGTGATAGCAGACGTTACAACGATTCGAACGGTGTGTTAGTTGCATTTTGGCCTAAGTCTGACTTAGGCCAAAAAGGTAGCGGCTTGACGCAATGTAACGTTCTTAACATGGGAGTAATGTGGTCCCTCTTCTTTTTCTTCAGTACAAGCCTAGCAGCATGATTTTGAAAACGTTGTAACTTTTGAAGAGAGGTATTTGGTAAGTTAGCTAGTAAAGCATTGCAATAATCGATGCGTGAAAACAAGAAAGATGACACGAGCGTTTTCAACGAGTGTTCGTTCAAAAACATAGACATATGACCAATTCTACGCAATTCACAAAATAAAATTGTACATAAATAATTGATATGATGTTCCATTGACAATTTTGAATCAAAATACACTCCCAGATTTTTTGCTTTATTAGTATCTAGTAAAATACAGTTTTTCATTTTCAGTACAAATATGATCAATGTCTACGGGGATATGGCTTTTCTTTGGGTTACATAACAGAATTTCAGTTTTATTTTCATTAAGCTGGAGCTTATTATCAACCATCCACTTTTTGATGTCATCAATGCACAGACCCATCGTAGTAAGCAAGGTTTCAACATCTGATGGTGGAACAGATTTATATAACTGTGTATCGTCAGCGTACATGTGATAATTCATATTGTGCTTTCTAATCACAGCTCCAAGCGGCTGCGTATGTAACGTATACAAGATTGGCCCCAATACTGAACCTTGAGGCACTCCAAAGTCTAGCTTGAAAATTGACGAAAGAGAGTCGTGCACAACCACATATTGTGTACGGCCAATCAGGTAGGACCTATACCAGCCAAGAACCCTGCCAGACAGGCCAAACGTGTTGAACAATCGTTCAATAAGAATAGTGTGATCTATAGTGTCAAAGGCAGCACTAAGATCGAGAAGAGAAAGAATTGATATTTTGTTTTCATCTGCCTCACACAAGAGGTCGTTATAATACTACAGTATGTGGCAGTGATGTCCCCCACGTAAACAAACAGGGGCTGTGTGTATCTATTCTGGGACCCTGAACCTCAAGGCAAGACGTGATGCACAGCTCAACGGACGGGTGAGTACTTTTCAAGACTTACGTGGAGGCGTCTCGGTGGTCTTAGGAGGAAATCTACAAGCTTTGCACTGAAATATGACACGCGTGACAGCACTGCTGCAAGCTCTGGAATAGATCTACACCACTTTGCACGATGATCTCCTTTGTGTTCAAATGAGACCACCTTTGACGGCCGAGTTAATTTTGGTTCCCCGTCTGTAACTTCCTCTTATAATTTTAAGGCAGCGATAGAATTCCACCGTCAACGGCCGTGTAATGTAGAGGGGGGGGGGGGGGTTTTTTTTTGG